AGGCACAGCTGATTGCACAGTCCATAGGTCAAGCGTTTAGTGTGGCCTACCAGGAATTTCTGAGAGCAAATGGAATCAACCCAGAAGACCTTAGCCAAAAGGAGTACAGTGACCTGCTCAATACTCAGGATATGTATAATGATGACCTGATTCACTTCTCCAAATCTGAAAACTGCAAAGATGTATGTTTCTTTTTTTTTTTCCCATAACAACTTTAAGCTACTCTGTACCACTTGTAGGCCTGTGCTGGCAGAAATCAGAAAACCATTAATACATCCTATAAATTACCTCAGTAAGAATATCCTTCCAAGTAGGACACCCTGTCATCAGTTCTCTTTCAAAGGCAAACAGTGAACTCGAAATTTGTCAGCAGTGGAATGATTTACCATCTGTTTGTGTTCTTTTTTACCAAACAATTTTCAGACATGTTTGAAAATTAATTTAAAACAGATTAACACAATTTAATAGATTACAGTAAACAATATAAAACTTACAGAGGCACTGTTGTTTGTGAAAGTTTACGAAGTGAAATTTCTTCAGAAAGAATCTGATTTCAGATTCTGAAGAATTGTATTTGCTGAAAGGTTTTGCAGGTTGCTTAATAAAGAACAACCAGTGCACCTCTGGAACAGACAGGTAGTGGTTTCCTGATCCACAGTCATAAGCTCTTGAAGTCTCTTCCTGTTTAGCTGTGTCCACCAAAGCCCATGGTATCAGGGTTTGTTCCACTCAAATTTCCTCTGTTTACATGCAGAAATAAGTTGTGAGGGGTGTTTAGCACTAAGCAAAATCTCTAGTATATATTCATGTTTGAATACAAATGAAATGTAGTAGAGGCCTATTTTGTTTTGCCTTTGAAGTAGGAAGACAGGTTGCGAATAAAGAGGGTATATGTTTCTTGCTTATATGAACATTCAGGGCGTTGTGGGATCCTAGTCAATTCCATAGGTGTGAAGAAGATTTTTTTTTGAAACATTTTTTTTCTTACGATACAGGTTTACATTGAAAAACAAAAGGGAGAAATCCTAGGTGTAGTGATTGTGGAGTCTGGCTGGGGATCCATTTTGCCTACAGTTATCATAGCCAACATGATGCATGGAGGACCAGCAGAGAAGTCTGGGAAGCTGAACATAGGGGACCAGATCATGTCAATCAATGGGACCAGTTTGGTTGGTTTACCGCTCTCAACATGTCAGAGCATTATAAAGGTATGGAGAGTGTTTCTGGAAATTACACACTTTAAAAGGGTTACATAATAAGAGAGCAGAAATTATACAACTCTCAAGTAAATTCTTAGGCAAATGTTTGTATAGCACTTTCCGTTTCATGGTCTTTAAAGTGCAGTGGGAATTACACTACACCAGTTTTCTAACTCCCAGAAAGTGAGCTGTGCCATTTCCTTGTACAGACAAGGACTCTGTGCAGAGCTTCACAAGAGAATATTTTGTTCAGAAGGAAGATATTGCCAGATGCATCTTTAAAATTTTATGTGACAAATGGAGGTACAGGTGCCTAGCAATGTCCTAGGCCATATTAGCTGTTTAAATGCCTCCTAGTATCTTGCTGAAATAGAGCTGTTGCTTCTGTTGTTGTTATTTTATTATTATTTATTATTATTGTATACACTTGTAAATTTTGAATTAAAGATGCAGTTAGCTTCTGTACAAAACTTCCCTGAGTTATTTGGAAGTGTGATGCTTCTCTTCACTTGGCTAAATGGGATACTTTAAATAGAAGGCCTTTCTTCTAGTCAGAGAAGTGTGTGACTGCAAAAAGTGTGCGGGTCAGCTGGAACTGAACAGTGTCTGGCATAGCTGTAGCATACAAGGGAATATGTATTTAAACATCAGAAATTCAGGAGCTGGGAAGATGCATCACTAGGGAGTGTCTGAGATGAAGCTATATGGATTTTGTTATTTATTGAAAAAGCTCCACAGAGCTCCTGCAGATTATAACATGTAGACATGTAATGTGACGCTGGTGATGTACTGTGCAGAAACCCTTTCTGATGTCTAAGAATATGGCTGTTAAACATGCTTAATTATTTAGGCAACTTTCTGTTGACAAGTTGTATTACATGATTTTTTCATTTTGTACTTTTTTAAATTGCAAAGTTAATTGCATTTACAAATTAAATTGAGAAAGTAAAAAGAATTTACTATGGATTTTTTTTTCCCCATGGATTAGTTTCTTAATACTTGAATGAAGACGTTTGCTATAAAGACTTCCCATTCTGGTTTCAAAAAATGTTAATGCTGGGTTCTGATCAGTAGTAGATGCATAAGTCATTGAACCAGCAATTTTAGAAATGATAGCCTGGTATTAAAAAAATGGCAAAACCAGTCTTAAATTTGTGAAGGAAGGAAAAAAAAAAATCTTAAACTTTTTTTGTGACAGCTTCAATGGAACAAATCTCCCTTCAAATGTAGGTTTTTCACGTTAACCATAGTTCTTTCCTATCTTAACATCAGTTTTCTTTCTAAAACAGTGATAAGCCATGGTTCTCTGACACAGAGCCTTTTCAGGAGCTTTCTTGTGTTCATCTGACCATCCTCAAAAGAGAACCAACTGTTTTTGCTGTTTCCAGATTCTGCAGATCTTTCTCTTCCTCACTGATGCTTACTGCAGTTGCCATAGGAACTGCTAACCTTTTTCTTGTCTTTCTAAAGAGAAGACAATCTGTTGTATGTTTGCAGGTCTTCATAACCATATATCTGCAGCTGTTAATATAGCACTTTTGGTAACAAGCATACATGCCACTGAATGTCCTAAGCAGATATTTAAGTGTGGCAGAAGTATCTCAGGATTTCATATTTCTTTAGCAAGCTGTAAGGACTCCTGTGAAAAGATAAGAATATTTTGTAGATAGGAAGAATATCTTTCAAGCACTTCAGATAAAAGAATTTCAGTGTTATGGATGTAAACTCTGCTACTAATTGAACCTAAACCAATTGCAAACTGACAAGAGCTCTGAAGAAGCTTTCTGTGTATGGTGGTTATTCCCTAATTGTGTTATGCTACTTGTAGCTTTTCTCAGAAGCATCCAGTGCTGGCAGAAGCAGATGCAGGGACTAGATAAGCAAATAAGTTGGTCAAATAATGCAATCGTTTTTTTTTCTGGTCAGCATATTTTACCAATCTGCATAATACTGGAAATTAGCCATTTTTGAAACATACACACTTTCTGTAAAATTGGAAAATTGTTTGTTGGTCACCACATTATGTTTTTTTCAAGGAATACATATAAATAACTTACATATTTGTCAGCAAAGTAAGAGCACAATGATATCAACTCTGTTGAGGGCACGTAACCTGAATGAACTCATATGACTGAAGTTAGACATCCAAATTCTCACAGAAATTAGCAGTACTCTGCACGACTCCTGCTCTCCTGTATTTAGAAGGCTAAGGCAAAAGCCCCTCAGACTTCTGATCAACCATCATACCCATGGCTTAGTACAGGTTGATTAGCCCGTGTCTTCTTCAATGTGTGTAGTTGTGAAGACCTGCGTATAGAAGATGAATGGCCCTGGAGCATGTGTGGTGAGCTGCTAGCTCCTCACCAGGGTGAACAAGTCCATAGTCATGGAAGAGATGGGGTTTGGATCTTCTTTCTGCTGAGAGGGGAGTAGAGGCAGTTCCCGCAGCCATGTGCTTTGTCGTTTTGTGTTCACACACCCATGCTCTTGGAGACGTGTCAATAATGAGCCAAGTTGAGTCAGCTCTTTTGCCGTTGCCTATGTGATGATGGCATCCACTTAAAGGCACTGGCAAGAAAACAGACTCTAAGACAGTTTTCCCTGGCAGGTTGCCAGTCTAGTTACTCAAGTCACTTCTGAATCTGGAGTTTAGCTCAACAGAATCAGCAGCATTAAAGTGGATGTAGAAACTTCAGTGTATTACCTTAGCTATAGTAGGAATTGTTTTTTAGAATTAGCCTTCTGAAGTCAGTGTGGGACACCTGTTAGTTGCGGTGGGACTCAGATTTCAATTGAGCAAGCAAAAAGAATTCAGAAGTAGGTAGTGGAATTGCTAAGTGTTGCATTAAGTAAGGTGGAAGTTCCTGTATTCTTTGTAAAGCATTTTTCTTTCCCATTGTGGATTTCATTTATGTATTTATTTATGCCTAACCTTCTGTGTGAATCGTTTCAGAAAAATAACTCCAAGAGCTCTGACTGCTTAAAGTTGTACAAGGGCTCAGATTGCAGTTATCTCCATTTTTGCATTTGAGTTTTCATGGAGCCATATGATCAGAGGCTGTCAGTCACCTCTGAAGCTGATCTAGACTAACACTTCAGTTCTAAGCAGAGTAGATTGTATAGGGCTGTGCTCACTAGGGTTTAAATAAATCCAAGATTGGATACTCCACAACTTCTCTGGGTAAACTGTTGCAGGATTTTACCACCCTGGCAATAAAAATAGATTTTCCTTCTTCAGTTTTCTTCTAGTAGTAAGGAATTCATGGTGAATGTAACATGACTCATCTAGAAGGGAGGAGGAACAGAAATTAGGAACAGTGTTTATACAAGCATGTTATGAGCAGAGCCTGCTGTTTGCTTGACAGAATTCAACACATCCTATTAGGAAACCACTAATGTGTTAGCTACTTATTTAAAATTTTATTTCCCATCCACAGTCGTTGGCTTTTTTGGTGAGCTGCATAGACCTGTTTAATATTCTTTTTTTATATAGTTAGTGTTATCAAATGGAAAAATTGCCACCAGAAGGCTAGTTTTCATAAAACAACTGTGTTCTTGGCAAGAAAAATCTGGTATTTTATCACTTATTTCACTGAATATTCTGGTGCTTGTGTCAGTCAGTGCACCGAATGCATTCAGTGATCAGATTCTGTTACAATGCATACAAAGAACTGTTTATTCAGGGCTGTTGCCGTATCAATACCTTAACAACTTTCTTTCCCCCAACAGTGCATATGTTAAATGTTACACTCTGTCTTTGCCAGCATTTTTCATGGTGATTTCTTTTCTCAGGGTTTAAAAAACCAGGCCCGGGTTAAACTGAACATAGTTAGGTGTCCTCCAGTAACCACAGTCTTGATCAGGCGGCCGGACCTCAGATATCAGCTGGGCTTCAGTGTGCAGAATGGGATTGTAAGTAGCTTCCACACTCTCTGGTTAAGCTTTAACATACATGAAACATGGGTAAGTTTCAGTGTGGCAAGAGAGTAGCTGCCATTTTCTCTCTCACAGCATGCAGGATTTTGCACATGTGTTAAGTCCAAGATACAAAAGCTGAGTTAATCAGTTATTTTTGTCTTTGCCGCTACATGACAACTTTAGAGTCAGCCAGAGGAACAGAAAAGCTGTTTTAGGTTAGAGAAACAAGAATGTGTAGCAGGAGCTGCTTTCAAACTGCATCACAGATGTCTCTAACCAAGCCATTGCATGACCTCAAAAGATTGCCCTTGATCCTATTTTGTTCTAAGGCACCTGCATGCTGAACATTCTTAAACTGTGGCCTTTTATACGCTCTTAAATTTCCAAACCACAGCATATATGATGTACAGCACAGGCTTTTCTGACAGTTTGTTCTGCTCTTGGAAGAGCTACTGCTCTTGCAGTAGTTATTAGGCACTTTGCTTTGAGTTGGTGATGGACTGCATTTTAGAATTTGTTGTAAGCCTCTATGTTTAAATGCTGATTTACAGTTTACAAGCAAAAAATGGGTAATCTAAAGCCTCTGTTCCTTATCCAGACCTGATAAATTTGTCCTTTCCCTTGCAGATCTGCAGCCTTATGAGAGGAGGGATAGCAGAGCGAGGAGGTGTGCGTGTCGGCCATCGGATCATTGAGATCAACGGCCAGAGTGTTGTAGCAACACCCCATGAGAAAATTGTTCACATTCTTTCAAATGCTGTTGGTGAGGTAAGAGCAGGCAATGTATCTAGGCAATATAACATAGTTCATCACTGATGCCACTAACAACCAGTGTAAACCAGTAACAAGTGGTACCCCGCAAGGGACCATACGGGGACAAATGCTTTTTAGTATCTTCATCAATGACATAGACCGTAGTCTTGAGTGCACCTTCAGCAAGTTTGTGGATGACACCAAGCTCAGTGATGCAGTTGATAAGCTTGAGGAAAGGGATGTCATTAGAGGTGTCAGGCTTGGAGAGTAGGCCCCTGTTACCCACTTGAAGTTCAGTGGGGCAAAGTGCAAGGTCCTGTACCTGGGTCAGGGCAATTGCCAAGACCAGTACAGAGTGGGGAATGAAGGGGGTGAGATCCGCTCTGTGGAGAAGGACTTGGGGATACAAGTGGGTGAAAAATTGGACATGAGCCAGCAGTGTGCGCTTGCAGACCAGAACGCCAGCCATGTCCTGTGCCGCATCAAAAGAAGCGTGGCCAGCAGGTTGAAGGAAGTGATTCTCCTCCTTCACTCTGCTCTCATGAGACTCGACCTGGAGCACTGTGTCCAGCTCCTGGGCCACCCAGCACAAAAAAGACATGGACCTGTTAGAGCAGGTCCAGAGGAGGGCCATGAAGATGATCTGAGGGCTGGAACACCCTCCCTATGAAGAAAGGCTGAGACAGTTAGTGTTGTTCAGCCTGGAGAAGAGCAGGCTCTGGGGAGACCTTACTGCTGCCTTTCCATATATAAATGAGGCTTCTGGAGAGAGACAGTTTACCAGGGCCTGTAGTGCCCTGAAAGAGGTAAACTGAAAGAGGGTAGATAATTTAGAATGGACTTAAGGAAGAAAGTTTTTACGGTGACAGTGGTGAAACACTGGAACAGGTTGCCCAGAGAAGCTGTGGATGTCCCATCCCTGGAAGTGTTTTAAAGACAGGTTGGATGATGCTTTGAGAAACATGGTCTGGTGAAAGAGGTCCCCATCCGTGGCAGCATGGTTTGGACTGGATGATCTTCAAAGTTCTCTTCCAATTCAAACTGTTCCATGATTCAGTGATTCTGCCTCTATTGGCCTGTTGCTTTTCAGATCTAAAAAGTGAAATGAGAGCAAAGCCAGCACACCGTTTCTTTTATTGTTTACCTGTAATTCTGCAATGTTTTAGAAAAACCCTAATCTGAAAATATGAAGTGTCCACAACTTTAGATGGTTCCTTGGTACTAAACATACTGTTTCATAAAACCACCACCTGGAATACTTTAATGAGAGTTTTCATAGCCTTAGGTTTCACCTTTCCCCTCTGTCCTGTATGACCTTATCTTGTTTCTTCACTGATGCTCTGTTGTAGTATGCATGTTAGGAACATTGGTTAACTTCCCGTGTTTCCTCCAGATTCATATGAAGACTATGCCAGCTGCCATGTACAGACTGTTGACTGCACAAGAGCAACCAGTTTACATCTAAAGATGACACCTCACCATCACAGCCTGCATGGAGAATGTTTTTCCTCATTAGTGTTCGTCTCTAGTGCTGCATTTCAGTGTCTGCAGAGACATTTCTTTCTCTCTCTCTCTCCCCTTCACAGGCACTAACACCCTGTCTCTCTCTCCTCCTTGCCATTTTCCTCTTCTCCACCCCATTTTCCTGTATTTTGGGAAGGGGCAAAATATATCTGTGGCACTATTTTGAATGCATCTTTTTACAAGTGAAACTTCACACAGTTCCACGTACAAAACAGGAAAATAAGAGTAGCATTGTTTACAGCAGGATTCACAAAGAGGATTGACTCTGCTCCATGCTACATAATCGGTTTTATTTCTGCAGCTGTAATTTCACAAACTGAGTAAGTTATATGTTGCTGAATGAAAGATATCTTTACCAAACAGAAAAGTCCAGGGTGCAAGGAGTCCTTTTGGATATCCTGCATGTGAGTTTGCTTTTCTTCCCATTTTCCCACAGCCACTGAGGTCAGTGTTAAAGGTTTATGTCTGTTGGGAAAGTAGAATGCCAAAAGGATAGTTTTGCCCTCAGAAGGAATTACCTGCTTATGAAGAGTCAGTAAATGCTGCTGTTGTGAAGTGGGCTGTCCAAATACACACTTTTGAATTCCCCTCTGTAAGCAGTTCTTCATTATAGTAGGACCCTAAAAGGTACTCTCTGAGTTGCGGAAACATGTTACAGTTGCATTATTGCACTAAGTAATTTGGGAGGTGTTTTTTACAGCTGACCCCCCCCCCTCTCTGCCCCCAGGTTTCTAACTCTTCATTTTCTTCTACTTTGTTTCTAAATGCAACATGTCTTTTATAGTCTCTTGCCTATTTTAGAGGTTAAAGGAGGGGGGAGGATCTTTAAATATCTACAAGAGAAATAGAGAGGGGATTTCCTGAATAGCTACACTTTTTCTAGGCTCTTTATTCTAAATTTGGTGCACACAGCCTTGTGTGCTGGTGTATATAGACCTTTTTAAAATTGTGCTTGCTATTTATGAAGTTTGAATATAAGAGATCTGCAGACTATTATAAGTAATTTTGTTCTCTGAGCCAGTTTTAACATGTATTTTTGTCCAAAGATCTGTCTAATTTTATTGACTTTCTCTTTAGCTCATGATATAGGTGACAGTGGAAGGGATGAGGTGGGAATAAACTTATTTATTTTGTTATATAATTTAACTTGTGATTTTTTTTTCCATATGTGTGGCACTTAAAGGAGATATGTGTATACTATATGCACTTGTATGACGATAAACTGTAGGAATTTATGAAATCAAGGATTTTATTGGCCTCTAACTTGCATGCTAGAGACAAAAGGGGAAAAAAGGGATATTTTTTTTAAGAGGGGAAAAAAGAAAAAAAAAAGAAAAAAAGGAGAAAAAAAAAAAAAAAAAAAAAAAAACAGGCACTTTTTTTCCTAGTGAGGAAAAAAAAAAAAAAAAAAAAAAAAAGGAAAAAAAAAAAAAAAAAAAAAAAAAGAAGCAGTGACTTTTCTTCCTAGTGAGAGGAAAAGTCTCCGTTCTCTGTAATGACTTTTTACCAGGACTGTTTTATGCTGAAATTGAACCATGCATTTAGTCCAAGCTAATGTATGATTCTTTTAAAGAAGCAGTTTGTGCTGTGTTTTGCTGTGGCAGAAAAGCTCAGTGAGTTGAAGACAAGAGCAGGCCACACACAGTCACACAGCACTTGTGCTTTATAAGCGTGCTGTTGGTCACAGCCACTGGTTTCTCAGTGGGCTGGACTGTACAACACAAGTGGTGTCTTCAATCCAATAATGATACCTAAACATTACTATGGGGATAATGGATGTGGATATGTGTTCTTAGATGCATATTCACACTTGCTGCAAACATGGCTGAGAGCCATTGAGCACTCTGGCCAGAGGTCCATTTTTTACTTTCAGAAATCATGGACATCCATGGGCTGATCAGAGGTAGAGAATAAACTTTATATTTCAGTAGGCAGTAAATATTTAAGGGAGATAATAAAGTGGTGCATAAACTATTGTAGTGAGTGAATATGTTTTAGTGTTGAGATTAATGTACGATGACTTGATTTTACTGCAGTTCTTGTTGTTACATAATTAATCCAAATTTCCAGAATAGCGGATTGCACAAGAGAGCGGTGTTAGTATTCCAGGTTATTACTTACCTCTGCTACCTTACTGATGCAACTAGTTAGTGAATGCCTTGTGAGTATATTTGTTTAACTGTAGACATCTGGTTTAAGATCATCTGAACTTTTTTCCAGAGCTTTCCATATATATATAGTAATATATGTAAATATGATATATATCCATGTACAATTTAGATTATATACAGTGCAGCCTTTCCATAAGTTGCCTGAGGAAACTCTGTGAACTCTTGAAGACACAGTTACCATGCTTCTGGTTCCTGCTGTGTTTGCACCCTCAGCTTCACTTGTTTCTGTGGTTCTGTCCGGTGCATGTGGTGGGGTCTTTAACTCGCTTCACTGGGAAGTGATGAAGACCTGAACATGAAAATGTATTAGAGATGAAACTACTGTTTCTTTGGAAATCTTACAGCAAGGATTCTGTGAAGTTACTGGCCCTTGAGTGCTTGAGCAGTTCATGGTAAAGAGGTGCTTAACATGAAGCAAGTGAATGCTTGCAGGATCAGTCCAGCAAAAAAATCTCAGTTTTTCCAGTTACAGTGTGTGCGTAAGATTTCCAAACTGGGAGGTCCACCATGTGCGCACACCTCTGATTGATAGCACTCTTGTAAGCAATCCCATTTCACTTTGTAAAGGGTGTTTCATGAGAGAGGAGCTCAAAAGGGAAAGCTGGCAGTTCTCTAGGCTGTTGCAGCAGTTTGTTACGTTACAAACACGAACTGCTGGTTTACATTCCTTCTTCAGTGACAGACCTGAATTCTTTTTCATCCTTGCTGCTTCATACAGTCTACTTAACTCTTCAGTGTTTACATTAAGGATGAAACATCCCTTACAGTTTCTTTTATCAGCAGGTTTCACACATTCGTTTTGAATCTTATTTGAATATGAGACTCAGTTGGAATTCCCAGGTTTGCTTGCTTTCTTTGTTTTCTGAATGAAATGTGTTTCTGAAGACAGCAATGTGGTTGAGATCTCTTGTACATATTTAGCACAGTACCTAGACTATGAAGTTGTACCATTGTTCTGTAAAGAGGGTGGATAGAAATTATTGTAAAGCGTTGGGAAAAGTATAGTATTGTATTTGTAACAATATTGTTCTTTGTAAACATTTAATGATCTCTATATAAAAA